ATACCCCATAGGAAAACAAATAAAACTCCTTATAAATTATGGAAAGGCTTTGCATCTAGTCTTAATTATTTAAAAATGTGGGGGTGCCTTGCAAAAGTTTTATTACATGACCCTAAGAAAAGGAAAATAGGTTCTAAAACGGTTGACTGTTTATTTATCAGGTATGCTCAGCAAAGTACCGCTTATTATTTTATGGTTTTAAAAAGTGATGTTTTAGGTCAAAATACTATTATTGAAACTAAAGATGCAGAATTTTTTGAACATATTTTTCCTTTGAAAGCTGAGCGTATCCCTAGAGTTGTTGAAAATTCTTTTGAGCAAAATTCAAATAAAAACGTAGTAGAAAGTTTACAGAGAAGTAAAAAAGCAAAGAAAGGAGACCTCCTTTGGAGATGATTTCTACATTTATTTAGTATAAGATGAACCTAGAAATTTTTATGAAGCGACCTCTTGTCGAGACGCACCTTTTTGGAAAGAAGCAATTCAGGTTGAAAATTGATTCTTTAAAACAAAACAAAACTTGGGTTTTAGTTGACTTGCCTCCAAGAGCACAACCAATTAGCTGTAAATGGGCTTTTAGGAAAAAATATTTTCCTGATGGTTCTATCGATAAGTATAAAGTGAGGCTAGTAGCCAAAGATTTTACACAAAAAGAAAACATTGATTACTTTGATACTTTTTTTCCAATGACAAGAATTTCTTTTGTAAGAATTCTCATTGCTTTGGCTTCAATTCATAAACTCTTTATTCATCAAATGGATGTTAAAACAACTTTTCTAAATGGTGATTTAGAAGAAGAGATTTACATGGTACAACCTGAAGGGTGCATTGCTCTTGGGTAAGAAAACAAAGTTTGGAAACTTGTGAAATCTTTATATGGCCTGAAACAAGCACCTAAACAGTGGTATGAAAAATTAGATCAAGTCTTAACTAATGGCTGTTTCACTGCTAATGAGGTAGAAAGTTGTGTTTATACCAAACTTGTGAATAATGACTGTGTGATTATCTGCTTGTATGTAGATGACATGCTAATCTTTGGTACTTGTCTAGATGTTGTGTTTGAAACTAAACGTTTCCTTACCTTTAATTTTGATATGAAAGATCTGGGTGAAGCAAAAGTTATTTTGGGTGTTAAGATAACACAAAATGAAAATGGCATTTTATTATCTGAAGAGCACTATGTTGAAAAAATTCTTAGAAAATTTAGATGTGATGATGATCCATTGAGTACTCCTTATGATTCTAGTATGAATTTGTTTAAAAATAAAAGAGAACCAGTTGCTCAATCTAAATATGCACAGATTATTGGGAGTCTGTTGCATTTAGCGAACTTCACTAGGCCAGACATAGCATATACTGTGTGCAAATTGAGCAGGTATACTCACTATCCAAGCAGTGAACACTGGGTAGCCTTAGTAAGAGTATTGAGATACTTGAAAGATACTATAAGTTATGGTATTCTCTATAGTGGATTTCCTACAGTATCAGAAGGATACAGTGATGCTAACTAGATCTCAGATTCAGAGGAGACCAAATCCACTAATGGTTATATATTCACTATTGGCGGTGGTGTAATATTGTGGAGGTCAGCCAAACAAACCATTCTAACTAAATCCTCGAGGGATTCATAGCTAATCACTATGGAGTTGGCTAGTACAGAGACTGAGTGGTTGAAAAACTTCTTGGCTAATATCCCATTAGGAGAAAGACCACCACCATTAGTGTCTTTGCATTGTGATAACCAAACAGCAATAGCTACAGTGAAAAATAAAACCTTCAATGGTAAAAGCAGACACATACGATTGAGACATAACATTGTAAGGCAGCTGCTCAAAGATAGAGTAGTCTCAATCGATTTTGTGAGATCAAAAGTGAACTTGGTAGATTTGTTTACAAAACCCTTAGGGAAGAAACAGATTAATGAAACATCGAGGGGAATGGGACTTAAGCCAACATGAAATTAACAACGATGGAAATCCAACCTTTGTGATTGGAGACCTCATGAAGAAGGTTCAAATGGGAACAACAAGTCATCTGTTAGTTCTGCTAGCACTATTGCAAAGTTATAGTCCCTTCCCATGATGTGAGAAAGTGCTAGAATGCATTTATTAGCGAGGTTGAGTGAAAACTCTTAATGATTTTATAATCTTACAGGATGGTGTACTCATTGCAGGTATATTTAATGAAATCACCTCTACAAATGTGGAGTGGGGCCACTCCTATGAGACTATGGTGAAATCTCTAGAGCATTCATTAAGAACTGGGCACGGGCATGGCTATCATAACATGCAAAACTACCGTAAACAGTAGAAATTGTGGGAGTATAATCTAACTCCTAATACCTTTAGTGCATACCAAGAGCTGTTGGCTCATAGAAGTAGGCTTCACTGACATCTATATGTGCTAAGTATTATTGGTCTAGATCTGGTTCATAGTCCAAAAGACACTACACTCGAAATAGTTATATCCATTTGTAACTCAACTATACGTGTTCCTTTTTGACACATGTGGGGGTTATTGTGTATATAAGTGGGTGTGTCAAAAGTGAAGTCCCACATTGCCTAAGAGAAAGGGAGCTCAAGTGTATAAATGCTAGCATACATTTATTGGGTGAGTGAATGGGCCTAGAGGAGAAGGAAGATCTCGCATGCATGACAATGGCCCATCGGAGAGAAACACAGTTGAAAACTAGCAATTTCCTCCTTGTGCATGAATTAGAACATTACCAGGCACCTCTTATAAAAACAATTTTGCAAAATTAAATTATAAAATGGTGTTAAGAGAGCTTATCAAAAAATCCTTATTTTGACCGTTTATAATTTGTAACAGCCAAAGGTTACTGAACGTTGGAAGTTTTTCAAACCATGATTAATCCTCCATTAATCCCTAAACCATTTTCTATGGATTAATATCTGGTAATGTCTAGAATTTATTTCTTAAACGTACCTAACGTTTATAACCGAAGGTATAATTATAGATTATTGCAAGTAACGTATGAAACCAACAGATTAATTGTGTTTATGGTGGTGCCCAACGGTCAGGTCCCCTGAGGCCTATATAAAGCGGTCAAGAACAGTGTGTTTTGCACCCCGCTCTTGAGCTTTCGAGCATCTGTTCCTCCTTTGCGTTTCTCTTCTTCCCTCTGTGTTTTTGTGTTGCTGGGTTATATCTTTAGTTTCTGCTGTTTTGTCACCCTGTTTTCTCTAGGAAGGGTTCGTTTAATCCTAGAGAGTGTCACATTCACGTTTACCTACGGTGGTGGAATAACTCTTAAGGACAATGTCTACAGGCACGACTCAAACCAAGCTGATATATACTTCCAGTTTACTCAACACTTTTAACCCAATAGAAAATTATTCATGTTATTTTTATTCTCTATTCTTCCTTCTTCGAAAGCATCCCTCCAGCATCCGCATCAAGCGTCAACGGTGATCAAAGTAACATTACCTATGAATTAGATTGATGGTGTTGGCCAAAAAAAGGAGTCATGGTTCATACGTGTGCTCCATCCGGTCCCAAAGGTAATTAAAAATTAAAAAACATTATGAAAAACAAACTGAAATTTAAACTAAATGATGAAGAATAAGTAATTATTTTTTTGTCAAATACAGTATAAGTATCCCTTTGATTACTCTCCATTTCGTTGTATTAATAATAATATAAGAAAAATTATTTATAAAAATATAATATAATAAATAATAAAATATACTAAAAGTGTCATATTATTTATATTTTATTGGCTAAATTATATAAAACTCCTTTAAATTTTAGCATTCATAACCTTTTAAACTTTACACTAAATCACCTTGAACTTTTGCATTTATAAAGGTGACTCCAAACTCATCAATTTTTTAAAGTTAGAATCTCTTTAAATTACTTTAGACTTGAAACTAATTTTTGTTGAGTTGGGAGCATTAAAATTAAAATCCTTCTCAACAAGTGCATTTCTCATAATTCAAACTTGTGTTCTCTTCTTTATAAGGGGAAACCGCTTAGTGTCTTAACCAACAACTTACTGGTGGATTCATCAATTTTATACTCTTAAACTTTATATATATATATATATAACCCTTTTAAATTTTAAATTATTTGCCAATAAATTGCAGATAAATACTCTCTTCGATCTTTATTATAAGTTTCAATAGATAATAAATAATTAGTTAAAATTAGTTAAAAACAATAAAGCGGTTAGAAATATACTTTTTTTTTTAAAATACGCCCTTATAATAAATAAGAAAAATGATGAAAGAGAATGTGTGAAAAATATATGATAAGAGAAAAATAACTAAAGGCAAATTAAAATTTATAAAATTAACTACACCCTTTTTCAAATTTGAAACTTATAAATAGGAGTCGAGTTAGTAATAAACAAAGCCGATAATGTGAATTATATTTGTAAATATAAAATTTTATGAAAAAATTATAAATTTTTTTAAGTATATATTACCTCCGATACTAATTATAAGTTTAAAAATAAGGTTTTATAATTAGAAGCAGATGTAGTATTAATATAATATTTTATATTTAAAACTAAAAGAAAACCATTTCTTGTGTTTAAGACAAACGGAGTATTTTGATTTTAATGAAGAAATGTCAAAGGAGGTGTTTCCTTTCCATGTTTTTTTTTTGGAAGTCTCGAGGATTGGAAAGAATATGATATGATCTTAGTAATTATTAAATGATCGCGGTCATAACGGTCTCTATTTCCCCACCAATTACCACACTGCCCCAATAACGCGTGCAAAATACCCCTAATAAAAACTTCTCCTTCTCCCTTCGCATTCCCATTACTACCTGCCCTCCGCATTGGCCACCCGCGGGAGATGTCGCGTCTTGCGAAATGAAAAGGAGATGAAATTGAAGAGGAAAGAGATACCTTTCAAATTGGGCCGTAGATTATTGGATTCAAATCAACGGACAAGATTGCTTGCTATCCCTCTGATGGCGTCCTACTCTGATTGTATTTAAAAAAAAAAAAGTGTATTTGAAGAAAATATTCTCGGCATAGGCGTCTCTGCTTGTCCCACTCCCACGCCCTCCTAGGGTTTCAGAGTCGCCGCGCTTCTTCTGGCATTGAATTTTCCTTCAACTGCTTCATCTGTCTTCTCAGTATCCACTGCTTCGTTCGTTAATTAGCTGTAAGTGTTCTGGTTATTGATGTTCTGTCTATTCGAGTCTTTGTAGAGTGATCTAGGGTTGCTGTTTTGTGTTCTTTTCTTTATGAACCAGGATGTATGTGATCGTAATCTGATTCTTTCTTAAAAATTGGTTTTTCTCGTAAATAATACATTGAGGAAGTGAAGTGAAGCCTTTTGCGTTTGCTGGGGAAGGGTATACAACGACGGTGACATGACTCCTTATATTGTCGATCTGTTGGGATTTATTTAAGCTGTCCAATAGTGCTGAAAGTTTTTCTCTTAATAACTGCAGCGCCGACATGCAGTTCTTGCTTTCTCCAGCTGTGGTTTGTTGTGTTTGTTTTTCATTTAATGTACTCTACACTTTTTTTTAACTCCCGCTAACTTCTCTTGGAAATGTGTCACGCTTTGATTACTGGGATTTTGTTGATATTGAGGATTGGTAATGCTGTCTTTGGAACGGCAGTTATCTGGTATTTTTATTTTAACATAGATTTCTCTTTATATATTATGCTTAATGAGTCAATGGTTCTCAATTTCGGCGTGGGATATGGGAGTTTTTAAGGGCATGCCTCATTCTTTTTCAGTTAGTTTCGTGCCTTTTTTGGGTTGCGATTACTGTTCTAATGCGTCCTCTGTTGAAGGTTCAATTTCTTTCGTACTACAATCTTACTTGTTGGCAAAAGAAAAGGAACATAATTTTACTTGATCATAGATGACATAAGTGCATCACTCTGTGCCACTGTCCCCCTTCTTATTTTCTTTCTATCATTCTGCGTGGTCAAGTTCAATTTCCTCTTTGGTGTTTGTCAATTTTGTTGGGTGCTAATTAATTATGATTTCCAGTTTATCTTGATTTGCACATCTGATACTAGTTGGGTGAGATTCTTTCTCTATCTCTTCATTATGTGATTAGGTTTGTATGCTGCAGGTTCAGATGGCCATGGAGGTTACACAAATTCTTCTAAATGCCCAAGCAGTGGATGGTACTGTACGGAAACAGGCGGAAGAAAATTTAAAACAGTTTCAGGAACATAATCTTCCGAGTTTTTTATTTTCTCTTGCTGGTGAATTGGCAAATGATGAGAAACCTGCAGAGAGTCGGAAGCTTGCAGGTCTAGTTCTTAAGAACGCATTGGATGCAAAAGAACAGCATAGAAAGATAGAATTTGTCCAAAGGTGGTTATCATTGGATCCAACAGTGAAAGCCCAGATTAAAGCATTCTTGTTAAAGACCCTTTCCTCCCCTTCTTTGGATGCTCGATCAACTGCAGCACAAGTTATTGCAAAGGTTGCTGGTATTGAGTTGCCACACAAGCAATGGCCTGAACTGATAGGATCTCTCTTATCAAATATTCCTCAACTTCCTGCTCCTACAAGGCAGGCAACTCTTGAGACGCTTGGCTACATCTGTGAAGAAGTCTCCCCAGATGTGGTGGATCAGGACCATGTAAATAAGATACTCACAGCTGTAGTTCAGGGCATGAATTCTTCTGAAACTAATAATGATGTCAGGCTTGCTGCAATTCAAGCTTTATACAATGCTTTGGGTTTTGCTCAAGCAAATTTTTCGAATGATATGGAGCGTGACTACATCATGAGGGTTGTTTGTGAGGCTACTCTTTCCCCTGAATTGAGGATTCGACGAGCAGCTTTTGAGTGTTTGGTTGCCATTTCATCAACGTACTATGAAAAGTTGGCTCCTTATATGCAGGATATTTTCAGCATTACTGCCAAGGCTGTGAAAGAAGACGAGGAGCCAGTTGCACTTCAAGCTATTGAGTTCTGGAGTTCAATTTGTGATGAAGAAATAGATATACTAGAAGAATATGGAGGAGAATTTAGTGGTGATTCTGATATTCCGTGCTTTTACTTTATTAAGCAAGCACTTCCAGCTCTTGTACCTATGTTATTGGAGACTCTATTAAAGCAAGAAGAGGACCAAGATCAGGATGAAGGAGCATGGAACATAGCTATGGCTGGAGGCACATGTTTGGGCCTGGTTGCTCGAACAGTTGGTGATGATATTGTGCCTCTGGTTATGCCATTTATTGAAGAGAATATAACAAAACCAGATTGGAGGCAAAGGGAAGCTGCTACATATGCCTTTGGCTCCATTCTTGAAGGTCCATCGCCTGATAAACTTGTACCACTTGTAAATGTTGCTTTGAACTTTATGCTCACTGCGTTAATGCAGGATCCAAATAATCATGTAAAGGATACTACTGCCTGGACTCTCGGACGAATGTTCGAATTTTTACATGGGTCAGCTTTGGAAACACCAATTATTACTCAGGCTAATTGCCAACAGATTATTGCAGTGTTGCTCCACAGCATGCAAGATGTTCCCAATGTTGCTGAGAAGGCATGTGGTGCTCTTTATTTTCTTGCCCAAGGTTACGAGGATTCTGGATCTTCGACCTCTACACTGACACCCTTTTTTCAAGATATTGTCCAAGCTCTTCTTACTGTTACTCATAGAGATGATGCTGGAGAATCACGCCTTCGAACGGCAGCCTATGAAGCCTTAAATGAAGTAGTGAGGTGTTCTACTGATGAAACAACTCCAATGGTGTTACAATTAGTTCCCATCATAATGATGGAGCTCCACCAGACTCTTGAGAAACAGAACCTCACAGCTGATGAGAGGCAGAATGAGCTACAAGGCCTTCTCTGTGGTTGCTTGCAGGTCACCATACAGAAGTTAGGTTCATCGGAGCCAACAAAATATCACTTCATGCAGCATGCTGACCAAATGATGTCCCTGTTCCTAAGAGTCTTTGCTTCTCAAAGTGCTACAGCACATGAGGAGGCTATGCTTGCTATTGGAGCTCTGGCTTATGCAACAGGACCAGATTTTGCTAAATACATGCCGGAATTCTACAAGTATTTGGAGATGGGACTTCAAAATTTTGAGGACTACCAGGTTTGTGCCATTACAGTGGGTGTGGTTGGTGATGTATGCAGGGCCTTGGAGGATAAGATATTGCCTTACTGTGATGGAATAATGACCCAACTTTTGAAGGACTTGTCAAGCAACCAACTGCATAGGTCTGTGAAGCCTCCTATATTTTCGTGCTTTGGAGATATTGCTTTGGCAATTGGTGAAAACTTTGAGAAGTACTTGTTATATGCTATGCCCATGCTTCAGAGTGCTGCTGAACTATCTGCTCACACATCAGGTGCTGATGATGATATGATAGAGTACACAAATTCCTTGAGAAATGGAATCTTGGAGGCATACTCGGGGATCTTCCAAGGGTTTAAGGGCTCCCCGAAAACTCAACTCTTAATGCCCTATGCTCCGCATATACTGCAGTTTTTGGATAGTTTGTACACAGAGAAGGACATGTAAGTAAATTCTTATATTTGTTATTCTGTAATTTAGGCTTCTAAATTTTAACCCGTTGTCATTTTATGTGTCTAGGGATGATGTTGTTACAAAGACAGCAATTGGTGTGCTTGGAGATTTAGCTGATACATTGGGTAGTAATGCTGGCCCCTTGATTCAGCAATCTGTCTCCAGCAAAGACTTTCTCAAAGAGTGCCTGTCATCTGATGATCACTTGGTTAAGGAATCAGCTGAATGGGCCAAGTTGGCTATCAGTCGAGCCATATCATTTTGAGGCAATTGCTATTTCATGGGTCATTGTTCTTGCATGCATCTGCTTGTGTTGAGTGAGTCGCAATTGCATACCATGAGTCAGGTCATCACCATTTTTGGGCTCAAGTGCTTGAGTACAGCGGTCTGTGTTTCTTGTCAGCAATATGGAGTCTTCTTTTCCATTTCATTTTTTATTTATTTGTTCTGCATTGCCATGGAGGTAGGTGGGTGATGACCAGATTTTCTGCTAACTTGGCAGAAAATATGGAGTTTTTGGTGCAGGAGGAAAATCGAAGTTAATGGTTAGGATGGAAAAAATGGTGATTTCCCATGATACAAATGCCAATGCTCTCTGTTGGCTTGGCTTGATATGAGGTCGGTGGTGTCCTGTTTGATATTTGGTGGGGTTGTAAGGCCTTAATGGGGAGGGATACAGTCTGTCCTTGTCTTTTTGTTATTTTTCCTCTATTATTTGGCTGTAGAGTGGAAAACAGTTGTCTTAGTCTATGTCTTGGAATAGGCAATGAAACATATTTGCGGTCAGGTGAAATTAGTCAATCATTCTTCATCCATTATTTTGTATTGAGTATTCTCTTTTGTTTTTGCTTTTGCTTTTGCTCCCCATTTTTTGGGGGGCTCTATATGAATCCTCGTCTTGAGCTTCTACGAATAACCTGTCATGAAGTGAATCATCGTATTTTCATTTCATACAAATCCTATCCTTAGCATGGGTATCCGTTTCAGAATGAATACATACATAATGCTCGTAAGGTCTCTTGTGATTATGTATAGCGAAGTAATTATATTTGGTTTTTCATCTTCCACGATGAGGGGAAGTCCATGTGATTTACTTATGATTGTGTATAGCAAAGTAATCATAGAAAAATAATGGATGGGATAATTAATTTTATAACTGTTAATATTTTTATTTGATGTTGTGACACACTCATTCCAGAATGGTTTACTCTAAATCCCTATTATGTTGGCAATGTTGTAATTTGCCGCTTGTGTAGGATATCTGTTTCTCTAGGATTGCTTGATGAGATTAATGAAAGATCCAGCTTTAGCATATTGTGTTTGTGACAGCCTGACAGGCCTGCAAGAAGAAATATTGTATGAATTTCCCTTGGGTGAGATTGCTGCAGTTTTGTACCGTTCAAGAGCATGCAGATTTCACTAGTGGCTTCAAGACATCTTTTATCATTTGGTGTTTGCCGTGGCAATAAGGATCCATGGAACCTTGAATAATAGAATTTTCCTAGAAAGTTGATAGATGACTCTTGGGGATTAATCAAATCCAGAGAATTTAATGGAACTAGTTGCACTGTTTATCTGCTTGACAGGGATTAAAAGAGATTATTCATTGTTGGTGTTAATTTGCTGTTTGCTGCATAAGCATATGTGGTACCATTTTTCTTAATGTATGATACAATTATGAATTTTAAATTTAAATATTTAAAGAATGTAACATAACTATTTTGTTGGAAAACTGAGTTTACTATGATGTTAAGTTGTAGCCAAATTTGCTATGAAATATTGTAGCGTATACAAGGTATTAGCACAAGCCAAATACTACAATGACTGGAGGGGGAAGATAAATAATGGCTTTCGGTACTTTGGGTGCGTATATTCAGGTTGTACTCCATTATCTTCGTAGCAATCTGAGCAGTTTTTCAACGTTAGTCTCCGTTAAGATGATAAATGAAGTTACAAAAACGAAGTGCAGTGGATTGCAGTTAAAATGAATAAAAATCGCCTAGATGATTCCAAGTTCTCTTGTTTATGGAAAGTTGGGATAAATTTCATTTAATTTCAAGGTTTTCTTGCTTAGCCCTTTTTTAAGGGGAATAACACAAAAATGAAGGTTTTTACTGTTTGATTCAAAACAAATTTTATTACTATGCTGAAATTTAATTACAATATCTTCTAGAACACAGTTATAACAATTAGGTAAGTTATAATTATTACTTCCGGTTTTAATTATAAGAACTAATTGATTAATTTGAGAAAATTAAGAAAATAAGTTAAATTAGTTATTTGTAATAAATAGATATTGTCTTTTTTAAAATATCCTTACTAATCAAGTGTATTGATTAGAATTATCATTTTTAGAAGGATTATCTTGAGAAAAAATACATAAATATGAGAGAAAAAATAGATTAGGATCTTATATTGAGGATCAAAATAAAAGTCAAATAAAATCTTATATTAAGAATCGGAAGTAATATTATGTTTATCCACTTTCTCTTGTCTTAAAGTGTAAAATCACATATACTGGCAAAAAAAAAAAATGAAAAAGTAAAATTTGGTAGGTGAGTTTAATTTAGTTTTAAAATATAATATTTCAATCTATTTTGCCACTTAAATTTATATTTTTTTTTACTTTTTATTGATTATATATATTAAAAAGGTTTAATATTCTGTACTAATAATTAAATCAAATTTTTTTTTTGAAATAACTAAGGGAGAATGACATTGAGGTCCCACAGAAGCCAAATACAGCAAAAAGGTCCCCTGAAATGTCATAATTTTTTTGAAGTCCCAAAGGGACTTAGATGCAATTTTCAGAATCTGTAAATTACTCTCTTGCCCTGCCCTAAGCCATCAGAAACGAAGCAGCAGCATTTCATTTTGGGTGAGACTTCCCGCGCAATATGCTTGAGAAAGAAGACATTGGGAAAGAGGGAAGCAGCCATTGATGATGAAATATCCTCTCTATTACCATTAGTGAACTCCAAAGAGCTTCCATGTGAATCTCCACAAACTTTCAGGTGTGAAACTTTCTTTCCTCTTCTCTCCTACCTTTCTTGACAGATTGTGCTTTTGTTTGGAAATGGGAAATGAAAAAATCGTTTTTGTGTTTTTGGGTTGCTTGTGGGTGGTTTTGGAAATGGGATTCACAAGTTAATCAATAGAAAAGCTGTGTTTTTGGTTGGTGTGTGTTGGTGATTTAAGTTGGGTGTGTAGGATAATCATGGGTGCTCTGTTTTTGAGTTGCTTGTGGGTGGTTTTGCTCTGTTCTGATGCTAGTTCAGTGGCAAAGGAAGAAAAAGATAAAGGTTAGTGAGGGTAGAAACCCTTAGCACGAAATGGGATTGTGTTGTCAATCAGGCCGCGATTGTTGTCAATGTGTGCCGCTACACTTGTCAATGTAGCTCCTTAAGTTGTCAATGACAGTTGCGTGCTGGTTGATGCAGGTTTAAGTTACTGATGGTATTTCAAAGCTTTTGTTTTTGGTTTAGGATTCAGATGTTAATGAATGGAAAAGCTGTGTTTTTGGTTGATGTGTGTTGTGATTTAAGTTGGGTGTGTAGAATGATAATGGGTGCTCTGTTTTTGGGGGTGGTTTTCCTCTGTTCTGATGCTAGTTCAGTGGCAAAGGAAGAAAAAGATGAAGGTTAGTGAGGGTAGAAACCCTTAGCACGAAATGGGATTGTGTTGTCAATCAGGCCGCGATTGTTGTCAATGTGTGCCCCTATACTTGTCAATGTAGCTCCTTAAGTTGTCAATGACAGTTGCGTGCTGGTTGATGCAGGTTTCAGTTACTGATGGTATTTCAAAGCTTGTGTTTTTGGTTTAGGATTCAGATGTTAATGAATGGAAAAGCTGTGTTTTTGGTTGATGTGTGTTGTGATTTAAGTTGGGTGTGTAGAATGATAATGGGTGCTCTGTTTTTGGGTGGTTTTCCTCTGTTCTGATGCTAGTTCAGTGGCAAAGGAAGAAAAAGATGAAGGTTAGTGAGGGTAGAAACCCTTAGCAGGAAATGAGATTGTGTTGTCAATCAGGCCGCGATTGTTGTCAATGTGTGCCGCTACACTTGTCAATGTAGCTCCTTAAGTTGTCAATGACAGTTGCGTGCTGGTTGATGCAGGTTTCAGTTACTGATGGCGACTACGTCTGGAAAACATCTATTTTGCTTTGTTCACATAGGGGGAAAGTTTATAAATGATGGAGAAGATAATATGAGATATGTGGGAGGTAGTGTAAGAACAACCAATGTAAAGGAGGGCACAAGTTATGAAGAATTGAAAGAAATTATATCATCAATTGCTGGAAAAGAAAGCAACTCATTTCTTCTGAAATTCTCTGTTGTGTTTGATAAAAAAACTTTTGTGGAGTTGGTAGATGATGATGGGGTGGAACATTTGATAAAGTTCAATGAAGAAAGTGGTCATGTGTATGTCGAAGAAAATGAAAATGAGGACCACATAGAAGCAACAAGAGATAATACAATGGAGGAGCAAGATGTGTAAGTATAGTTTAAGAAAACTGTTATTGTGATTTCTTAGTATGTCAGTTGTTACTGTATTGCTACCAACTTGTCAATACATGCACCCTGACTTGTCATTTTTTGCAGGATTGATCAATCATTTGGAGGTGTCAATGAATTGTCTATGTCTCCACCTACCTTATTTGATGTGATTGGAGAGCCACAATCAATTCCTTGTGCTGTTGAAATGATCCCAACACCTACACCACAAATGAATTCCACAAAATGGAAGGATTTGATTATTGGAGAAGGACAAATATTTCCAAATGCCACTACTCTCCGGAAAACATTATACAAGTACAGCTTATGCCAGAAGTTTTCGTACGTTTTCATTAAGAATAATCAGCAAAAGATCATTGTGAAGTGCAAGGTTGATGGTTGTCCATGGTATATGGGTGCATATTCAATGGGAGCACATCAAGATACTGAGTTTTTAACTATCAGAACGTACAAAAGTGAACACATTCATCATGCACAGGACAACTTAATTGTACCTCACTCAGGAAGGTCAAATTTAGCTGCTTCGATTGTGATTGATGACTTGAGGTGCAATGTTGACAAGAGTCCTAATGAAATCAGAAAGGACTTGTATAAAGAATATGGAGTGCAATTGAACTATACTCAAGCATATAGGGTTAGGAAGAGAGCACTAATGGAATTACATGGTCGAGTAGAAGATTCTTATAAAGTAATCCCTTGGATGTGTGAGAGACTCATGGAAACTGATCCTGACACAGTTGCAAGATGGGAAGGCTCAGATAGCAACCGATTTGAGAGGCTATTCATTGCATATGGATGCTCAATTAAAGGCTTTGTGGAAGGTTGCAGACCAATTATTTATATAGATGGATGTCATTTGAGTGGTCCTTACAAAGGAACTTTATTATCAGCTTGTGCATTTGATGCAGACAATGAGTTGTTTCCTTTAGCATATGGTATTGTTAGCGGGGAAACAAATGATGAATAGACTTGGTATCTACAGAATCTGAAAGAGATAACCAGATCAGCACAAGTGACAATTGTCTCAGATCAGAGTAATGCTATTATCGGTGCTGTCAAGACAGTATTTGATGGTGATAGACATGCTTTTTGCTATCGACATGTGAAAGAAAATTATAGTGCTCAGTATGTGAAAATCAATAGAGGTGTGAGACGGACCTCAGAAAATAACAAGGAGAATGCACTTAATTTACTTGATGGAATTGCATATGCAAGGCATGATAATGAGTTTAATGTTGCAATGGGAAATTTAAGATTGTTTTGTCCTCAATTGGCACAATGGGTTGAATCTCATGGGGATGTGGATAGATGGGCGCAAAGTAAATTTCCTTTTAAGAGATGGGATAACATCACCAATAATCTTGCTGAGTCTTTTAATGCATGGATGTTGAAAGAAAGGAAGCACACCTTGCCGGTTTTGATACAAGAGCATCAAGAGAAGTTGGCTAAGAAGATGGTTGCTAGCAAAATGGGGATGAAAAGCTGGAAAAATGGTGTAGGACCCAATATTGAATCAAAGTTGTCGGAACAAATAGCAAGAGGTGCGTGTATGGAGGCAACATATTATGGTGATGACCATATTTCGGTGCAGACAATACGTGAGGGACGCATCATCTATGTTGCTGTTGATCTGATTTCTCACAGATGCACATGTTTGGCATGGCAAATGAGTGGAATACCTTGTCCACATGCTTGTGCAGCAATCAAACTAGTTCATCGTAGTGTGTATGATTATGTAGATGATTGTTACAAATTGTCCACACAGGAGAAAATATATGCAAATAGCATGAGGCCAATTGCAACACATGATTGCCCACAGCCTGATGCACCTATTGTGAGTCATATGCTGACCCAAACATTCTTGCATCCACTGATAACCAAAAGGCCTCCAGGAAGGCCAAGGATTAATAGGATAGAATCTCAGTTCCAAAATAAGAGGGTTTATCATTGTGGAAGATGCAAAGAGCCTGGACACACTGCCAAGACATGCAAGAACCCAAATCCCAGCTGAGAACATATTGAAGTCAGCTATTTTTTGTATATGGATGTGAAGAGAATATTTTGTAAATGGGTGTGAAGGAAATTTTTTGTAAATGGATACACACCACTGGTTAGTTTCATTATGACATGCAACCCCTATGTTTTTTTTGGGATGGGTTGTGAAATAGGTGTAGTTTCATGTATATGAAAGTGTAAATGAAAGTTGGCTATGAATTGGCATGTTACATTGTACTGTCATTTTAGTTGTCATTACCTGCACCCTGAGTTGTCACTAGACCTGTAATGACTTGTCAATCATTGCACTACGACTTGTCAATGAATTTGCTGATGTAAGTTGTCAACAACATGAATTCAAGTAACATAACCTTTTTTACCATGAAATGATATTTACAATCACTTTGTCATATTATATTTTGGTTGTATGGTTATATATAATCATTATTAATGAAGTGTCAAAAACTTACCTCTCCCTTGTCCCCTGTCAGTGGTGGCTCTGTGACATGTCAATGGAGCACTGTTGCTTGTCAATAACAACACTGTCCCTTGTCAATAGTTTATCCGGTTACTTGTCAATAGAGCTCTGTGACTTGTCAATGTAGCACTGTGACTTGTTAATGGCTTCACTGTCCCTTGTCAATGGAGCACTATGACTTATCAATGGAGCTTTGTGACTTGTCAATACAGTACTGTGACTTGTTAATGGCAACACTGTCCCTTGTCAATGGTTGCACTATGACTTGTCAATGGAGCTCTGTGACTTGTCAATGGAACACTATGACTTGTTTGTGTGAACACTGTCCCTTGTCAATGGTCGCTGTCAAGAGAGCATTGTGACTTGTCAATGGAGTATCGTGACTTGTCAATGGTTGCACTATGACTTGTCAATAGGGCACCATGACCTGTCAATGGTGCACTGTGACTTGTCAATGGAACACTGTGACTTGTTTGTGTGAACACTGTCCCTTGTCAATGGTCGCTGTCAAGAGAGCATTGTGACTTGTCAATGGAGTATCGTGACTTGTCAATGGTTGCACTATGACTTGTCAATAGGGCACCATGACCTGTCAATGGGGCACTGTGACTTGTCAATGGAGCACTATGACTTGTTTGTGTGAACACTGTCCCTTGTCAATGGTCGCTGTCAAGAGAGCATTGTGAATTGTCAATGGAGTACCGTGACTTGTCAATGGTTGCACTATGACTTGTCAATAGGGCACCATGACCTGTCAATGGTGCACTGTGACTTGTCAATGGAACACTGTGACTTGTTATGAAATTCTTATATTACTTGTCATTAACTCCTGTTATATTAGTTGTTATTTTGGATAACTGACGTTGTTAATTTAATAATCAACCATAATATCTCTGCGCATATAAAATATAAATATAATTAAAAATGTAATAAAACCCTAACAAATTAGTATTACAATGTGATGACAAAGGTAATAATATTATAAACATAACCTGATCAGTTTGTTACAAAATGACCTATTTGCTAATCATCTTAACAACACATATCATGGGCTAAGAGAACAAAAAATTCATAGACTACTCTATCTCCTCTTCTTGGTCTTGTTGTAGTCCGATAGCATCGACATCACTTGACTCCCATGTTCATTACTTGGATGGGTTACCAACCACCACAAACAGCCAACCTTCAACTCTTGTAGCTCATCATTAGAGTATCGTGGCATTGTATATCCTGCATCATCCCGAACGGTGCCATCCCACTCTTGTAGCCAAGAGATAACATGAACTCCACATGAATCACTACCAAGCAAATTGAATATGTTAGCGCCTTGCAATTGTTATTGTGAACAAAAACAACATAACACAATCGAACATAACATCTATACTTACGTATCATTCTGCACATAGACTTTAGCCCATTTCACTTCGTTGTCAATTTCGTCCTCATTGGCAAACAATTCTGGCTTAACAGCACGTAGCATCGAATGGAAACAGTTCATCTAGAAAAAAAACACACGCACATAATGAACATCCAGTGACAACTACAGAACATCCAGTGACAACTCACAGAGCATGTAGTGACAAGGGACAGAGCATCCAGTGACAACTAACAAAGCATCTAGTGACAACTACCAGAGCATGCAATGACAACTACTACAGCATCTAGGGATAACTAACAGAGCATCCCGTGACAACTAGCATAGCATCCAGTGACAAGGGACAGAGCATCCAGTGAAAACTAACAGAGCATCTGGTGACAACTAACAGGGCATCCAGTGGCAACTAATATATCATCCAGTGACAAGTAACAGATCATTCAGTGACAACTAACAACTAATAGATCATCCAGTGGCAAGTAACAAATCATCCAGTGACACCAAGCACAACATCCAGTGACAACTACCAGAGCATGCAATGACAACTAGCACAGCATCCAGTGACAACTACGACAGCATGTAGTGACAAGGGACAGAGCATACAGTGACAACTAGCATGGCATCCAGTGACAAGTAACAGATCATCCGGTGACAACTAGTATAGCATCCAGTGACAACTACCAGAGCATGTAATGACAACTATGCAGACTGCTACTAACAATTATAATAGTCATTGACAAGTATAAAAGCTGTAAATAACTACTCACAGTTTGTGTTGCCATGAACTGTTTGGGGTCGAACTGCCTTTTACTTGTCCTCTTTTTCTTCTTCTTTGCGTCATGTTGTTGCTCACCCCCCTTCTTCTTTGCTTCTTCTTCCTCGGCTTGTAATCTCATGAATGTGATGCTATCAACCAACGAGTCAAGGGCGTGGAAGGTCATGGTCTTTGTCTCAAAAACATAACAAAACCAATGATCTTCAAATAGAGTAGGACCAAAAATGAAATCGCAATCCCCGATATTGTATCCAATATATTCAGGTAATATTTCTTTTTCATGGTCCTCCCATTTCCACCTTAAAGGATTCGCCACCATTTTCTGCATGAAATCTGCAGAAAATATATGACGGTTGACTCGCCCATCTTTTTCCTTTTGATCTCCAACGAATGTCTTCGCCACCATAGTCATAAACTGAAATTGCAAATACAAACAAATTACAACTCCTTAGCATGCAATAACTCATTCTGATATTAACTATGTACGTGTGACTCACCCTGTCGTTTATCCATCTTCTACGTTGGAGACATTGCAACTCACCACGGGTTAGGAAGTATCCATACATCGATACAAAGTATCTAACACAAATGAAACAATTATGAAGTTAGTAAATTCAGTAAATTCTGTAACATAATACAAAATTGGTCACCAAAACATAATACTTACTGCTCTTGCTCCTCATGGTTACACCTTGCTGTGCACATGTCAAATAAAGCTTGCCTGTCATCAATTGTTCTCTTTTTCCCAGCCTTGCTTTTAAATTCCAGAAATGGAGACCTAAGAGCTTTCCCCTTACTTATCACCCTTGTAGATTTCCTCACATGTTCGCTCCCTTCCCCTTGGGTGGCCTCATCCACTTCTTTGTCCTCTTCATCTTCTTCTTCTCTCTTATTTTCTTCTTCATCTTCTTTGTCCTCATTTCCCTTCTCTTTTTCCTCTTCATCCTCTTTTTTTTCCTTGTCATGTGATTCTTGTCCACCCATCTCCTTTTCTGATTGAGCTTCTTGCTCTTCTTCTTCATTTCTATCATCTTGTGATTCAGATTCTTCTTCTTCATTTCTGTCATCTTCTTCCTCATCCTCTGAATCACTTCCTTTCTCAACTTTTTCCTCTTCTGCTTCAGATTCTTCTGCCTCATCTTTGTCCTCTTCACTTACATTGCCACTACCCTCCATTAGTCTTGACTGAAGGGCCATCATTTCCTCCCCCAGCATAGACACTAATCGAGTATATGTCTTTTTGATCTCCTATACAAATAAAATTCAGAACAGTAAGCAACAGTAGAAAAACAAAAAATTAATCATTAAGCCCACAAGTCCACATACCGGGTGAGTTAAATTTTCAGGATCAAATTTGGTGGATTGCTTTGCCGGATGCAAGAGTCCTCGATTGCTTTCCTTCTCCTCCTTAACTCTTTGCTGCACTTTCTTTTCATCCCAATATGCAACAGCATCCTTTACATGTGCAGCTTTTGTTTCTCCCAATGGAAAATTTTGTAGACAATATAACTGCATGTGACATGAATGATAAGTTAACAGCAACCATTGACAACATTCAGACCATCAAATGACAACAGAAATATACAAATTATTGTAGCACTTACCATTAGGAAGTATAGACAACCTGGCACATTCTTCTTCTTCTCAGTCAACTTGCCTTTTTCCAATTGTTTCTTGTACACTCCAATCCCCTTATATAGTTCATGCAACACATAAGAGGACCAATCAAACTTATCCAATCTATCCTTTGTTGATAGTATTACCTTCAACAAATAATCACCCACACAAATACTTGCATTAGGACATAACAATGTTCCCAATGCATACATGACAAACAGCACCTCAAAATTTTCATCTTGGTTCTCCTCAGTCAACAATGATGCTATCTTCTTGTATGGAATATTGCCATACACAATCCTCCACTGCTTGAACACTTCATCTTCATTATTCACAACTACTTTAATCTCTTCTCCGTCAAATGGTAGCCCCAGAAATTCATGCACATCTTTTGCCCTCATTTTCCTTGTCTTCCCTCTTATGGAAATGTTTTTTGATGCAACATCAACTGCAGACATAAACTCTCCACACAATTCTCTTTGAATTGTGTGACAACACACTTCAACCAACTTGTCAAACCCTATTTTTTTCAGCCTATTCATCAGTTCCTTCCTTTCTTTGATGTGCTTGCAAACTTGCATGAATTGTTTTGGTGCACATCTTGTATAGAAAGGAACAATATACTTCTTGGACTTGGTGGGAGGTCTTTGTGCCTTAGCCCTTTCACAATATTCCTCTCTTTGTTGTTCTGATAATTTATCCCATGCCTTTCTCACTTGTGCATTTCCTGCTTCAAGTGATTTGTACTTCTTTGAGCTTTTCTTGTAGAATTCCTCCGTAAACAAGGCATAACCGGAGAAATTACTGCTTCTTTGTGCATCCTTCCCCATTTGGCAATTCTGCTCAAATCCTGAACCCCAACTCTTTCAGACCACAGCAAACTTCTCAAACTAGTTCCAGAAAGATATACCAAAAGAGGGGTTTTTCCAGGTTTCTCAGTATGTCAACAAATGAAACGCTTAATTAGTGATAAAAATATTCAATTTTTCACCAATAAATGAAAGGCTGCATCATGCATAATTCAGACGCAATCATCAATATGATAATAGAAATCCCAAAAAGGAAAGTAGTAACAATTACAGACCAAACAATCTTGACAAATACTTTGAACTCCAAACAAGACACATCAATTATTCAGCCTCAAATCTGATTCTTCCATATTATCATATTCTAGTTATTTACCATTTACGCATTTCATACCTCATCTCATCATGTATCATTCTTCTTACAAGCCTTCTTGGAAGTGCTTTTAGAAGGCTAATGCCTCATCATGTATCATTGTTTTAAACATGCTCCAATACGCATACCATCTTATGGTCAAGGGAAAAAAAAAACATGGGCCAAGCATAATCAAAAGCATCCAGCCGTATTTGATGCAAATATTCAGCAATGATCAAACGCAACAACAAACTGCCAAGACATGCTTTTCTGATTCATATGATTTTACCTTCTTCAGTGTCGACAATGCCTCTGTGTGCGAAAAGAAATTGTGAGAATAGGAGCTCTGCTTCAGACGCCGATCAACGGAGCCACCAGGACGACTCCTCTTCGCTTGAAACGCAAATGACGACAGCCACAACGACGACCTTCACTTCGCTTCTGATGCCGATCAACGGAGCCACCACAACAAGCTCGACTTCGCTTCAAATGCAGATGAACAGAGCCACAACGACAACCTCCACTTCGCTTCAAACGCCGATCAACAGCGCCACTAGGACGAGCTCCACTTCCCTTCAAACACCAGGACGAGCTCCACTTTGCTTCAAACACCGATGAACGGAGACGCCAGCACTTCGCTCCGCTTCGCTTCCAACACCAGGACTTCGCTCCGCTATACTTCACTTCGCTCCACCAAAACAGAGCCACTGCCACAGGCTTTCAAGGACTTCGGTCACGATTTTCGGTGGGTTGTGAGTAGATTTGAAGCAGCACGGTGGGTTGTGGCCGGATTCTTAGCACGAACGATTTCGAACAGGATGAAGGCGCCAGACGGTTTCTTCAATCGAACAACAAACAGGGTTTCAAATTTTCAGTCAAAGCAATTTCGAATGGGAAATCATAGTAAGGGCAAATAAGTCATTTGAAGATTCTGAAAATTACATCTGAGTCCCTTTGGGACTTCAAAAAAATTATCAGATTTCAAGGGACCTATTTGATGTATTTTGTTCTCCATGGGACCTCAATGTCATTTTCCCAATAACTAATTTTAGTTTAATTTTTAAATTTTTATAAAGCCACTATTAACTCCAAATTTAGGGGGTAGTTGCAATTTGACAATATCCTGGTACAGTTGATTTGATTAAAAATAATAATTGTGGAAAAAAGAATATTAAATATAATAATTATATTCAGAATGCAGAAGAATAACAATTAAGGAAAACGACAATAAAATGATACTTCAATTTTGAATACTCCAATGTCACTTTAATAGGATAAATTCCATTTTAGCCGCGCATGAACAAATAGGAATTTTAAAATTTGTTGAAATAACTATATTGATCATATATCATTTGTGCTTATTTTTTTGGAAATGTTTTGAAAACAGGTTGTTAATTATGTTACCAGATTTAGTAATACTATTAGATGAATTGTCAAGCACATTATAGAAGTTGAAAATTTCTCAATTTATTATGCATTCATCAATCTCTCAAAAACTTTTGTGATATGCAAGTAAAGGCTAAATAATAATTTATTTATTCATTTATACCATTTATGTATACTATTAAAGCAAATTTTATCAAAACTTGTATACAGCAAGTTATGTTCGACTAAGTAATATGGTTAACAAAACCTTTTTTTTTTTTGTAATAACATGATTAACAACTTTAATAATGTCATTCACCATGTGAGCTGAAAGGTATTTTGACCTTGAGTATCTAATAAATTGGAACATTTTCAAGTTTTATAATGTGATCGACAAGTTATGTAATGATATTAATAAGTTTAAAAACACAAATAGCAACATATTTTTTCAAGAAACTGTGAAAGTGGGATTTTTCCTACTCCAACGCGTAACAATACTAATAACTCTAATAACACTAGTTGTGATTTTTGAGTGCCTAATAAACTGACAATTTTTTTAATTTTTATAACGTGATTGATAAGTCACATAGTGATATTAACAAGTTTGATAACATAATTAACTTATTTTCATAAAATAAGCATAAATAATATAAAGGTAATATAATCATATAAGCTAGTTTCAAAATTCTTATTTAAACAAATTTCAAAAATTTCTATTTAGTCATGTACAACTAAAATGAAATTACTAGGTGATTATTTGTGGTTTTTAAAATTTCTATCTAGTCATGTACAACTAAAATCAAAGTATCAATTTTTTCGTCGTGTTTCTTCTTTGGGAAAATCACTAACAGGTCCCACAGAAGGCAATTTATTACTCTGAGGTCTCACGAAATGTCAAAATCACTAACAGGTCCCAAGGGACCTCAGAGTAATATTTTTGTTTTGTAAAATGACATTACTGCCCCTCATATTCCAGATTCACATTTGCTTTGTCATTACGATTTACAACCTCAGCAGCGACTATTAACAACCTAATGAGAGGGCGTTAACAACCCTAGCAGTATCCGTTAACAACTTACTTTATAGAATATATAACCTCCGCATAAGAGTAAATTATAACCAAATAGTATAATACAACAACTTTAATACTAAAATGGGAAGCTTTTTGATATCATTAAGAATTTTAACTAAACCCAATAGGATTATAGCAACATTTTAATGCGAAGATCCATTTACAACCTCAATGGTGAGTATTAATAACCCAAAGAGAGCTGTTGACAATCTAGGCAGTATCTATTAACAATTGACTTTATAAGATAATATAACCTCTAACAACTATATAAGATTAACTTTAAGACTATTTAGTTATAGTTTAGTTAGTTATAGTTAGAAGTTATATTATCCGATAAAATTAGTTGTTAACAGACACTGCTAATGTTGTTAACAATTCTCCTTAGGTTATTAATACTTACTGTTGATGTTGTAAATGGATTTTCGCATTAAAATGTTGCTATAATCCTATTGGGTTTGGTTAAAATTCTTAATGATATCAAAAAGCTTCCCATTTTAGTGTTAAAGTTGTTGTATTATACTATTTGGTTATAATTTACTCTTACGCGGAGGTTATATAATTCTATAAAGTAAGTTGTTAACAGCTACTGCTTAGGTTGTTAATGCCCTCTCATTCGGTTGTTAATAATCGCTGTTGAAATTGTAAATGGATATTCGCATTAAAATGTTGCTATAATCCTATTGGGTTTGGTTAAAATTCTTAATGATATCAAAAAGCTTCCCATTTTAGTGTTAAAGTTGTTGTATTATACTATTTGGTTATAATTTACTTTTACGCGGAGGTTATATAATTCTATAAAATAAGTTGTTAACAGCTACTGCTTAGGTTGTTAATGCCCTCTCATTCGGTTGTTAATAATCGCTGTTGAGATTGTAAATGGATATTCGCATTAAAATATTACTATAATTCTATTGGATTTAGTTAAAATTCTTAATAATATCAAAAAGCTTCCCATTTTAGTGTTAAAGTTGTTGTATTATACTATTTGCTTATAATTTACTTTTATGCAGAGGTTATATAATTCTATAAAGTAAGTTGTTAACGGCTACTGCTTAGGTTGTTAATGCCCTCTCATTCGGTTGTTAATAATCGCTGTTGAGATTGTAAATGGATATTCGCATTAAAATATTACTATAATCCTATTGGATCTAGTTAAAATTCTTAATGATATCAAAAAGCTTCCCATTTTAGTGTTAAAGTTGTTGTATTATATTATTTGGTTATAATTTACTCTTATGCAGAGGTTATATAATTCTATAAAGTAAGTTGTTAACGGATACTGCTAGGGTTGTTAACGCCCTCTCATTAGGTTGTTAATAGTTGCTGCTGAGGTTGTAAATCGTAATGACAGAGCAAATGTGAATCTGGAATATGAGGGGCAGTAATGTCATTTTACAAAACGAAAATATTACTCTGAGGTCCCTTGGGACCTGTCAGTGATTTTGACATTTTATGAGACCTTAGAGTAATAAATTACCTCCTGTGGGACCTGTTAGTGATTTTCCCTTCTTTTTTTCTATCGGCAGCACTTAGAGTCCTTGCAAATCAATGGCAGCAAAAGCACAAACATACAGCCCGTAATAATAATAGCAGTAGCAGTAGAAATCGAAAGAAGCTGGTGGGACCGGCATTAAATATCAGTTTTGGTACCTGACTAGAGTGAGGAAAGATGAGAATGGGAGCAAAAATGCTCTTTGAATCACAAAGGAACCCCAACTTCCGAGTCCCAATTGTTTAATTATTTGTCCAAAATCGCCTATCCATCTCCACTTTCCTCTTTCTGCTATGGCCAAGCCTTACAGGAGAGAGAGGCCATCTTCTTCCTCTTCCTCCTCGGCTCGCGCCAATCTCGCCTCCTGTCTCGTCGCCACCGTCTTCTTGATTTTCCTTCTCATCGTCATCCTCGTCGTTTACTTCACAGTGTTCAAGCCTCAAGACCCCAAGATCTCCATCAGCGCCGTCCGGCTTCCGTCCTTCTCCGTCTCTAACGGCTCCGTCAGTTTCACCTTCTCCCAGAACGCTTCCGTCAGAAACCCCAACAGAGCCCTCTTCTCTCATTACGATAGCTCTCTTCAGCTTATCTACTCCGGCAACCAGGTCGGCTTCATGTTCATCCCCGCCGGCCATATCGACGCCGGAACTACCAAACACATGGCCGCCACTTTCTCCGTTCAGTCTTTTCCCTTGTTCACCCCCTCCTCTTCCTCTGCCGATGGGTTCAATGAAGTAAGGGTTGGGTCCACCATGGAGATAGAGTCCAAGATGATGATGGCGGGTCGGGTCAAGGTGCTGTACTTGTTCAGCCATCGCGTGATGGCCAAGGCAGGATGCAGAGTCGCCATTGGCGTGAGCGATGGCTCTGTTTTGGGTCTTCACTGCTAATTCTTTTCCCTTTTCTTCTGATTTGCCTCTAATCTATGCAAGTGTAGTTATTAATTGCTAGTCATCGCAGTATTGTGTAATTTTTCTTCTCTCTTTTTGGTTTTATGAATTGGGTTGTGATTGTATACTCAGATGGGCATGAAATTGTAAAAATGGATTTTGATTGTCCCCTTGAATGTTACATTTTGTGATTTCTTCTTCGCTTGTTCTTCCTCTGAATTACTGGAAAGTTGTAATTCTGGTTCAACCCTTAATCATGTTCTTTAGCTTAGCTTGTTTGGTTCCATGGAAAAAGAAGGCTTTAGGGAAAAGAAAAAGGGATTTTGTGGGGTGTGGTGGGAACGAGGGAGCTTTTGCTTTTCCATTGATGAGCTTAATTGTCACATAAGCAAAGCTGGATGCCATGCTTCATGATGCATTTGACTAAGTAACATTTTGCAGTAGGCAGGAACTGATTTCTTGAGCGACTAGGGCGAAGATCATGGGGATAATGATAATTTAAAGGAACTTACTAAATATTTATTCAAATTATAAAAATTGGGAAATTGTGGTGGTGACGTCAAGAAGTAAAGTGCGCCTCCGTAATCCACTTTCAATTCAAAAAAAAAAGTGCGCCTCCGTAGACGTGAGTTAGTTTATATGTAAAATTTATTTTACATATTTACCAATTTTTTAAAATTAATTTTATTAATATTCTTTGAGCAATAATCAAGAAAGAAGGGATGAAGAAAATTAAGAAAGATGATTAGGATATTTTGAAAAAAAATTTATATGATATTAACTAGTTTAATTAACATTTTTAATACAGTTAAATGAGTTAATTAGGTTTTCTATTTAGGATAAGAGGAGTAGCACCTTTTGTGCTTAATCTATTTTAGCTCTCACACTTATAATTTTAAAAATTATTTCTAGTTTCTATTAATTACAAATATAAAAACAACTATATGAAATCGTTTTTATCACAAATAATTAAAGGTGTATTTTATAAAAGTAACGCATATTTTTATATATAAATAATTAACTTAATTAATTTTTATAAATTAGTCCTGTAACTTTTATACATAAAAAGCGTGGGGTAACTTGATACTGTAGTTGCTTGTCTATGTTCTCCCAAAATCACAGATATAATAATATGTGCCGGAAAGAAAGAAAGGGAAGAAAAAGATGGGGAAAGAGGAGGCCCTCTAAAGAGACTAATTTGTCTCGTTACTGGCGGATATGAAATCAAAAGGAAGGACAACTACCATAGAAGGATTACTATTGAAAGGTAATTTGTTTATTTATTAAGTATGATGTGGTTACTTGTGGGGTGGCCACGTCTTAAAAGGTAGGGACTCATGGAAGCGACAGCCATCACCGCCCTTTCCGAATGAATGGAAAATGACCCTTTCTTAATCCACAAGATATGAACACCTTTTTCTGAAAATTAATTTGGTCTTCAATCAATGGTTGAAATACTTTTTCTTACCATTAACACTATACTCCTGCTTTTACGCAGTACGTAACATCGATTTTATTTCTGTCTTTTATCAAGAAAAAAGCAAAATATTAGGAAGGATGGAGTTAAAAAAACGTTAATACAATATCAGGTTCTTATAATTTATCTTTATTTTGATTTTGATCTTTATAATTTTCAAATTATTCATTTTGGTTTTTCAAGAACAAAATGATTCAAACTTTTTTTAAAATACAGGAACTAACGTTTTTAAACGAAAAAAAATAAGAGACTTATATCTATAATTTGAACCTATAAGAACTAAAACTAAAATAAGAGCAAACTATAAGAACTAAACATTATATTAATATTAATGCTTTAAAAAAAATATAACAATTCAACTTGTAATTATAAAATATAAATTTAACCTAACGAGTCAGTCAAAAGAGCAGAGATGATTGCTGCTCATCATGACAATAGCATCTCACTTTAGTCACTGCTGGTAAGTTTTCTTGCAAGTTTCGGTTATGCTTTAAGAATGTATTCGCCTTGGGGCTGTGTGTGTGTACATATAATTAGTATATAATATTATCCATGACTTTCGTTTAAAGAAAAGAAGAAAAAGGGGTATTACGCTAATACCAGTTACCATTATTAAATTCATCTGGGATGGACAACTAGGAACATGTTGATTCTTCTCGCCTTTCTTAACCTTTTCCTTTTTGTGACAACGAAAGTATTATTATAATCCTTGCAGTGCTACATAAACCATAAACGGTGTTACAGAACAAAAAGCAACCACTATTCTATACAATACCCATATTCAAGGACAAATCTCATCAATACCTTCAGCCATCATATTTACCATAACCCTACAAGAACTAGTATTTGTAGAACTTGGATTCCAGGTGCAAATCGGGTTGCCACCACTGATGAATACCATGAGCTTCTTTGAAATCCCGTGAAGGAGTTACATTAAGAGTCAAATTAGCTGAAGGAATTAGGTGCAATGGTTCAGATGATTCGTTTCCAGATGCACTCATCAGCAAACCAGTGAGTGAGTTTTGAGATGCTAACCTTTCAATGCCACCAGCTCCAATCTCTTGCATTCTTCTTCTGTGCTCAAAATATCCAACGTACTCTGAGCAAATGTGATCAGAAGGATTCACAAATAAACATGGGACCCAGGAAGACAAAGCAGCAAATGAATCAAAAGTCAAATTCCTCGGCTGCTTAACTTTCATAGCAATGGTAAGTCCAGCTGTTATCACACTGCCAGCAAATCGAATCCCATGTTTCAGTTTCTTATCCTTAATCCTCTCAATTGGAGCAGCAACGTATGGTGGATTGAAAAGAAAAGATTCAAGCAACTTGCCCGTTTTGGCCATTGTTTTCCCACAAAGCATCGCCATGGCTGATCCCAGAGAGTGACCAGACAACCAGATATTTGAATCATTGGCAGACGCAACCATGTTACGAACAGCTTGGATAGCTATCTCTGCACGAGAGGTCTGATGAAGTCCATTTCGAACTATGTGCATATCCAACTCGATGTCACGAGAAACGGAGTCTGTCTTGGTTATGGTACCTCGAAAGGCAATCACATAACGAGGGATTCTTCTGTGTAAAAGGTCATTACTCTGGGATGACTGAGGCTTGAACTCATAGATCGCACCAAAGATAGAAGAATCAACATCATCTATGAGTGGACGTAATAACTTAAAGTTGAAGAAATCCCACCAAGGAGGTGCAAGAGCATTGGGACCTTCCCGTCTTTCTTGTCGATCCCTTTCTAGGATGTAAACACCTTGGACCAAGCTAGCAGCAACAGTCATGCGATTATTGGCATCGTCCCTGGATAAAGAAGCAAATTGTTCAGTATCATTGGCAATACCATTATAAAACTAATCAAAGCATATCCTCATAAATGAATTTTTATAAAGAGAGGGGAGGGGAAGGGAAGGGAAGGGAAGGGAGGGGAGGGGAGGGGAGGGGAGGACCCACCTCTACAATACTTTGAACTAAACGAGGGGAGCAAAATTACCCTCCCTTCAAAGCAAACAAACTTGGTGACTTGGTCAGCTAAAATATTCAATACTGAAGTTATATGTCCAAAAAGAATAACTCAGATGTACCAAGTTTATGTTGAATACTTTATGGGATGCCGGAAGATGTGGGGAGAAGTAGTTCTTTTTTAAAAAAAAAAAAAAAAAAGAAGCGAAAAAAAGATGTAACCAGAATGCTAAGCAAATGACATGAGTTTTGACACACAATGCTACACTAGAGTGCACAAAACTATTGACTTTCAAGGTTACAGACAAGTGTCAGAGATCACACAACGGTGGTGTGACAACATAAACTAAGTCTGGGGGGGAAAAAAAAAAAGAAGATAAATTTATAACGCAGGGGATTTTTTCAACTGGTCATACCAGTCAACAGATGTTAGATGTAAGGGTCCTGAGAGGTCAAAGTATTCCCTTTCAGACGCCATGTATGACACCCTATGCTTTCCACTCCTTCCTTCCTTCTCAGTGTCTTCCAAAGATTCTGACAAAATCCAAAAAGGGGAAATAATCTATCAATACCTTGCCAATCAGAATGTCAGGAAACCGATGAACAGTTATTAGACAATTTAATCTCTCTTATTGTCAATGATGAATCATTTCACATGAAAAACATGCTTCACAAAAAAGAACACATTTCAGTTGCGCTGCACAATCTTAATTCTAGTATGGTGGGATGTCATCAGCCGTGTGAACATACATCAAAAGGGAAATACAACGAGAAGTCAAATTTCAAACATTTAATCACACATGCTTTCTAAATCCCAGGGAAATTTTCTTTTCAGAATGCAAATGCAATGATGCTCAAATGATGCAAAGTGTTGGACGAAATTCCTAACATTCGCATAACAATGAGAAAATCCAAGAACGTAAACGTTGAGATCTGGCCATAACCAGAATCCAGTAGAGAAATAACATTTTGGTACTTGGACACATTAGAGGCAAGCAATGTAACTAGCCCCATTGCTCATCAGCGCACAGAAAATGTCAGCATAAAGCTAGGAAAATAAAAACTCTTCTTTTTCTTTTTCTAATTGGAAGCTTAAAGAACAGCATAAAGACACTGTGGTCTTTCAGTTTCAACTCAGTTTTGGCAAGAAAATTTCGTAAGCCAAAGACTAACAAGTGCTGGGATTTGTACAAATCTAAAAGCTTCAGAAAGAAATAATAATTAAAGAACACTCGGATAACAAGTTAAGGGAAAAAATTACTAATTAGCCCCAGAATCTCGAAGCTCCCTCTTCACTTGAACGAGTTGAAATATTATGAGAAGCATGTAAAGAATTGTCACAATAAAAGGTCTATTCAACACCAAAGACTCACAAACGTGTTACGAAGCAAACAAAAACAAATAAAGATAAGAATGTGGAAGGAACTGGGAATCAAAGAGAGAGATGTACGAAGAAGCGAAGATCAGAGGTGACTGCAGAGTATGGTGATCCCCTACCCAAACAATGCAGATCGAAGAGATCCAGAGAATGGGAAAGGAGTGGATGATTGGCGAAATAAGTTCAGACGTCGCTATCTCGATTCGTGGATTTTGCACTCTCAACCAACGCAGGCAAGCAGCCCCCAGGGAGGAAAAGCGCAGGGAATGCTGTCCGTTTCTTCGCTATTCGGTTTTTTTTTTTTTTTAATGGCAGGGACAACGTCGTCCCCCCGGCTATGGACAATCAAAATTTAATAATGTTTTATTAGAAAAATGACAAATAAAAATCCTAAAATATACCAAATTACAATTTGGTTTCTTTAATCTATATAATCAACTTATCTATTAATAATGTTTCCCTACAAGCCGCCCAATTGCACGGCTCAATCACACCTTTAGACACATTTCACTATTCACAATAGTGTATCGGCTCCAATAAAATATTTCAATAAATTTATATGGATTTGTTTGAGCCGTAAACCATTCTCGGGGCTTTGTTGTTGCTATACAATGCTTATGATAGCTCATCTTGAAAGCACTAGTTTTGAATTTCAAATTCAAATCTATAGCACACCATTTACACGCCTATTTCATGGATATTTATAAGTCATCACGAATCATTTCATCTCATAAGTGGCTTATCCCTCCTGTTCCTCCAAACATTTTACATTTCGCATTTGGAAAGATTGGAAGATAGAAGATGGGTGTGTCGGTAATTGAAGGTCCTGTTATACAATCTAGAGGTTTGGAGTGTCATTACATTCAATCACTCTTAGATACACTTCTTCTGCCATCAGTTTTATCTACTCGTCTCATTCATGTTCATCTTTATCATAATCTGATTCCCCTTACAAAATCAGGTACCACCAAAATTCTGTCTTTCTCTAACTACCAATATCTTGCGGGATCCTTTGGCGGATTAAAATTCTTGCGGTGCTAATTTCTTTTATCTAAGCAAAATAGCATTTCATGCTTCTTTTAAGGCTGAGGAAGACAAGACAATGAGAGAAGAATAGCTGCTCACACGAAATGTGTGTTTAGAAAGCAGAGTCAAATTGCTTTCATTCCAGGAAATGAAGAGCATGAAATGAAGTGAGCTACAGCCAGTTATTATTTGCACACTTAGAGAAGCTCATACATGGCTCCTGTTGTATATGTGACTGCCTATGACAATGCAGTTTTTTTGTTGTGTCTCGTTTTGGTTATTATGCTTCTTCTTCTTGTTTTTTTTGACATGTAGACTTCACGAAGTCATTAATTTTTTCATCGATTAGAAACACTTATATTCTGTTATTCTCACTTAGATCATACATGTCATTAAATTGTCATATTATGTAATATGTGTAAGTTTTTTCAATTTGTAACCCTTAAGTCAAAAGTTTCTATGATTTGGAAATATGTTGATATAAATGACGACCTTGCATTCCTGTCTAAATGGCATGTTGAACTTAGTAGTACTAGTATCTTAGTATGAATTGATGATGGGCCTTTGTCGGTGAAGAATAATGCTTAATTACAAAATGTGCTCATATTCATTAGTATTTTAAAGAAGGCCCGAAACATTGCAAGATCGAGAGATTTCATGTGATGGCAGAGATATTTTAATACTTTCTAAAATTTAAAAGAGAAACTAAGGGAAAAATTATCTGATACAATCAAAACCTTAATGAGATTGTAATTCCAACTGTTCGTGAGCCCATTGCCATCTACAACTATGATTGAGTAAGCTTCGTCGCTTTGAACCCCTAATTTTCCTACATATAGAATATGATGTAGATCAGTAGCCATGATGCAAAGAAACATATAATCAAAGATCTGATTGACATTTCTATTCATCAAATTTCTGATTTCATTTTTTTGATCTCCTCCTGTTCTTCATATCTTATGTTTTCTTTGTTGATGGCCTTTAATTTCTCCACTTCTCCTCAAAGATGAACCTTCTCTAGGAATAGCTGGTCTCTATTATCTACTAGGTTGTTAATTAGTGATTTATGTTTGTCATCTATCTCGTTGTCATGCCACTTAAAATAACTACAACCATCCTATATAGAAATAAAATTTGGTTAAATGGTATTCTAATTAAGGGTATTAGATTAGGGCAATGAGTTTTCCTCAAGATAGTTTGAGCATTTGTAAAATTTTTAATCTAGGTTCCTCTCCATCCATGAAGTCCATCAAGGTACAGCAAGTCCACATGACAAAACCTTTTAGTTCCTTATGCATGTTCAGCACTTGCCCTAAGTATAAACCCTCTCAGAATAGTACTTTTCATTTAGGCACATCTAGAGTCTTTCCTGTTATTTTTGAATGGTGAATCTTGCCTCAAGAAGTAGCTATATACTGGTATGGTATGGAGTGAGTACAATAACTTTTGTTTTATGTGTAACTCTAGAGCGTGTTCATTAAAATGTCACTATCAAAAATTTAATATCAAAATTTTGAAAGTTTTATGTGAAAGACCATAAAAAATCTTCACTATATATTTAATGATGAATGATTTGAAAATTCTGGGCACACCACTTGTCATAGCCAAGTTTCATGATAGCATTTTGAAGTTGCATTTAACTATTTGTTCCATTAACTGACAAACTCATATGTTCAAATTTTTATTTATACCTTATACTAATAGTTATACTTTCATGATTTGATTGCTTTATTTTTATTAGTTGTTTATATCACGGATTGGCAGAGTTAAATCCATGGCTTATTATGAAAGTCTAAGGAGCCAGTATATTATGGAAGAAGCTATATCTGTTGAACAATACAGCAACTCATATTTCATAAAGCACATACATTATATTAAAGAAAGCGATTAAATGCTAATGGCTCAAGATTAAACACATAAATGTCACCTTAAATATAATACATAGAAAGTTACATAAAATTTGATGAAATAGAGGATTTTAGATCCTAAACACGCAAATACTTAATTCTAATAGACATAATGATAACAATGAATCTCATGGCTAGTCCTGTAGATCCATATAATTCACAGGTAAACATAAAGACACAACCTTCAACAGAATGCTAAGACATGAAAAGAAAGCTGAGCAAACATAGGCAACTAGCTCATAACATAACAAGAATTAATCTTAATAGATATGCACATAATGTGAAATGGAAGTCTTCATGATTTATTTTGTGCCTACGTCTTAGAACATAGTAGGTTAAGGTCAAAGTGATGTGGAGTTCTATCCTCTATGTTGGTATCTATTTTTTTTTGTGTTGATAGAATTTGGTCTTGAAACTGATTTGTAGATAGTGTATGTGGGCTGTCTTCTTCGTCTTGCCCAGACTGGGAACACATTCATGGAAGCATGAGACCATAAATCATGAATGGTGAGTGGTTGAGTGAATACCATAGGGAACATGACAATCACGTAAGGCATAAAACATGTGAGGAATTCTAAGTACGAATTGTAGTCTATATAGTTATACCTATTTGCTATATCCAAGTTTTGATAGTTAAAACCTTGATCATGTATGTAGCCATATATGTAGTATAGAGGTATATAATGGAAGTTATACCAACTGGATGATCCTACTTGTGTTTCCTCCTTTTCAAGAGTGAAATAATATAGGGACATAGATGATGTAGCAGTTATGATGCACATAATGAGTGGTTCACAGTAGATCCACGTATAGTCCACACCATAAGATCTCCATTCTTCCAATAGTTCCCTGACTTGAATCAGACTTATCTCCTCTATAGTAGTCATCATTTTGTTCACTGTTTTTAAAGTGGTGTGTAATGGATAAAGGTGGTTGAGGCTTTGATTTAAGGACTTTTATACTAGGTCAATATGGGGGGAAATGGTTACATTGTTAAATGTATATGGGATTATTGACAATGTATTTAAGAATTTCATATTCATTTAATACAAGTAACACTCTTAGTATTTTATCTATCCATCTTAGAAACTACATGGCAGGTTGCAAAGTTGGCTTTGTTGAAAGTGCACATCTAATCGTTGTGGGTAGTATAAAAGTAGGGATAGTAGGGCTTTATCCATTATGATTTGACAATGCAAAGATCATAGTCTAAGTATCTATTTGATATGCGTGTTTTGTTTAAAATTTAATATAATAAGTTATAATGATGTGCCCTTCTATTTGGATTATAATCTTAGGTATAAATAATTCTGATGCACTTAATTTTATTACCACAAAAATCACTATATATTGACATGTTCATTTTTCTGTATGATTATCTTCTCATATTCATTTTTAAGTAGTTACCTTTTTTTTTCCTTACCAATTGTGAAGACCTCATGAAACAATTCATACAAGGGTCTACTGAGGTGTGCCTAATTTATTAAATTATTCTCATAATTTAATACTAAGCACTCTCAACAATTTCATGAGTTAATGATATGATTCTTATTATAGAACATCGAAGGACATGGGAGTGTAGCTACTGAGGTTAAAACTATTAACATATGATTTGTAATCAGTATGAGTATTAGTACTAATTGATTAGGCCTGTCTGATTTCTATTGTCTTTTTCTGTTATTTTATGCAGGTTATGACCCAACCTAATGACAGAGAGGTTACACCTCAAGGTATAAGTGATAGTTTTGTCAATAATGCTACACCTACTCAGACTAATGTTGATGAAAACATAACTTTGGTGAATTCTACTAGTTCTAAGACTATTGCATATAAAAAAAGCACAAGGAAGATCATTTTAAGGAAAACCATAGATTTAGTTAACCAAGTAGTAGTTGTAGAGAACATATTGTCAAAGTTATCAAGCAAGAGAAAGTTTAGTCATTACAAGTTGTTTGGTGTTGGGACAAGATGTTTAAGATGGAGTTCATGTTGTTGTTATTTTGATCCTATCTTTATGTTGTACTCTTTAAATTCCAAGTCATTATTTTTATGCTTTACTGTTATTTTTCCCATTTATTTCCCTTAATCCCCTTGCCATGTATTGTGTTTACTTGAAGTAATGTGATGCTTTTGTTTTCCATTAAGCCATATGATGACTAATACCTTTTTTCTTCCATGCAACCTAATATTTGATACAAAAACATAATGTCATCAATAACCTAGGTTATTGCTATAATTGCCATCTGTCTAAATTATAACTAGTACTAGATACCCCGTGCGTTGCATGGGGATCATAACA